GCGCCTCCGGGGCCCTCGGCGCGCACCGTGAGCGCGCGCCAAGCAGGGCCGGCCTCGAAGTCCAAAGGCCGCGCCAGGTACAGGCGCCCCGTGGCCGCGTCCAGAGCAAAGGTGCCCTCAGGATCAGCGCCACCAACCAGTGTGTAGGTGAGTGCGCCCAAGGACGCAGGCTCCGGAGGCGCCACTGAGCCCAACAAGGATCCAGGCCGAAGCCCTTCAGTTGCAGTTACAGTCAGGACCACCGGCACTGGCGCCGCCGGGTCGGGCTCTGAGAGATCCGGCGGAGGTTCTGCCGCGCGAGTCGAGGGAAGCACCTGCGGTGGACCCGGGAGGTCAGGATCAGGAAGACCCGGGTAAAAGCGGGTTAGGGCTGGCTCTCGGAGTGGCAGAGAAAGATGGACAAGTAGCCTGATAAGAGGGCCCAGGGAGCTACTGGAGGGTGGCACACTGTAGCAGTCAAGGGGAAGGGGGCAGACTGTAGGAAGGAAAGCCCTACCTGCACCAGAAGCTGCAGGCTGGCACTCCGAGGAGGGCTGCCTTGGTCGTGAGCACTCAGTGTTAGCACATAGTGGGGCCGCTCCGCCCGGATCAGGGATGCTGCAGTGAGCAGCTCCCCTGAGTGAGGATGCAGAGAGAAGAGCTCTGAGCCAGGACCTGGGGACACCAGAGGAAGGATGAGGGTCTGGGACTCTGAGCAGGGCAGGCCACAAAGACATGCCCTCACCCCATACCTGTTAGCGTGTACAGGATGGTTCCGTTTTCCCCCTCATCTGGATCCTTGGCCTGCAGAGTTGTTACCAGTGTTCCTGGAGGGACACGGTCCGGTACCTGTGGGGACAAAACTCACCTACAATGGTCTCCTTCCTGTTTCTCACAACTCTTAGAGTTCCTCTCACCTGTGTGTAGGCGGAGTCCCCTTTCTGCTCTCCCACCTGTACCAGCAGGCAGTCTCTTTTATCTATCCCTACACTTCTATGGAGAGACCCCCGCTCCCTCTCACTTCTTTAGTAGGGTCCTGCAACTTCACATACCTGAATAGGGAGGCCCCCACCAGCAGCCCCTGACGCCTGCAGGAAGGTGGGGCTGTTGTCATTGAGGTCGAGCACCGCAATGTGCACGGTGCCTGTGGTGCTGCGGGGTGGGCTCCCCCCGTCCTGCACCAGCACCAGGAGCTGGAAGCTGCTCTGCTGCTCTCGGTCCAGGGTTTGGAGTGTGGTCACTTCTCCTGGGAGTGCAGGATGGAGATCATGTATGGGATAGTTAAAGATTCAGGGCCTGAGAACTACAGGAAAGAAGCTTGGGTTGAGGAACGTTGGAAGGAATCCCAGGGGTAAACGCCAGGTTAAGTCCTGGTTCAAACAGTCAGGATCTGGGATGGGAGCTAAGGATTCCACCTGGGTGTTTGCCAGTGTGGGGATGAGGCTTCAGGGTCTCAGACTTTGGGTACCATTGCTTACCAGTCTGGGGGTGGATGCGGAAGGCCTTACTATCCTCTGACAGCTGTCGCAGGCTATAGGTCAGACGTCCATTAGGTCCTGAGTCTCGGTCAGTGGCAAAGACCCGGCCCACACTGGTCCCTGGGGGCTGGTTCTCAGCCACAGCTAAGAAGGTAGGCTCTTCAGACAAGCGGGGACTGTGGTCATTCTGGTTGAGGATGCTGACCCTCACAGTGGCTGTGCTTGTCTGTTGCCCCAACTCAGCTTTGGACCCAGAAACTGCCATTATCTTCAGTGTATATAACTCCTGGGACTCACGGTCCAGCGGTACCCGAACCCAGAGCCACCCACTCTGTGGCTCCAGGCCAAAGAGGCTACTTGCTCCATCTGCTGCAAGGTGATAGGTGACAGGGCTCCCATCTGGTGCCTGAGCTTGCAGTTGCAAGACCTGAGTTCCAGGGGTGGTGCCTGAGGGCAGGTCCACACGGTAGGTAGGACTATCAAATCGGGGAGCCAGCCCACGGGTCCCCAAGTCCTGTAATACCACCCGAAGTCGAAAGTGGCTGGTACGTGGTGGCGAGCCTCCATCCCGGGCCTCCAGCTCCAGCTCATGGGCTGCGCCCCCTAGGGGTCCCAGAGGTCGCATAAGTCGTACATGGCCTGTGGAAGGGTCCACAGTGAAGGCCCCATCACCTCCAGTAAGCAGGGTAAAGGTGACTCGACTGTTAACACCTGAGTCAGGATCCAGAGCCCGGAGCGTATAAATTGGCGTCCCCGGGGCAGTGTTTGGTGGCAGCAATACTGTGTCTTCAGGTGCAGGGAAGGCAGGGGCGTTGTCATTCACATCATCCAGCAGCACACGCACGCGGGCCACCGCAAACGCTGGGGGTGCTCCACTGCCTGCTCGTACCTCCAGTTCCAGCACAGGTCCCAGCAGCTCCCGGTCCAGAGGGCGAAGTGTTTGTAACAGCCCTGAGGCCGAGTCAAGGGAGAAGAGTCCCCGAGGATCCCCTCCTGATAGGGTGAGAGTCACAGGCCCCAAGCGACCTGGGGAGGAGGAAAGAAAGTCAGGAAAGAGGAAAGGGGGCAACTACTGAGTCGGGGTCTAGACTCTGATCCCAAGAAGGCCTGGGTGATACCCACATCTGTGCTTTTCAAAATATTATGAAGACATGTGACGGTGCAGAGCAGTTGGCTGGCACTACAGTGGTATCCATATGCCGTAGGGTTTTGTACTGCGGCTCTCTATGGTGTGATACTCTAAGGCACCTTGAGATGGTGCTGAAGGGCTATACTGGGATATGTGAGTGTGGCACCTAGTGGTTATAATGCAAAATGATACCTGGTGGGTTGTGTGCCTGGACCATGCCAACGCTGGTGCCTGGTGCTACATCCTCTGGCACAGAAAAAACATACTGTAGTTGCTCAAATATAGGTGGTGTGGGGGTTCCAGGCACGATGCTGATGTTGACTCGGGCAGTGGGTTCTGCCTTCAGCCCACCTCCGTCCTGAGCCCCGATCTCCAGCTGCACCACAGAATTAGCCCGTCTGGCCAAGGGCCAGGCTACTGTCAATAGCCCTGGAGAAGGCATAGAGACAGAGACATGTGAAAGAAAGAACAGAGAAGGGTTATAGAAGGTGGAGGCAATGCATCATTCAGGCAGCTGTGGAGAAGGGCCTGGGGGAAGGACCTGGTATGGAAGAATTCTTACCCGAGTGCTCATCCAAGGCAAAAAGTGGGGGGCTATTGCCAGCCAGGATGTGGTAGGAGAGTCGCCCATGGGGTCCTTGGTCAGGGTCATGGGCACGCACCCTCAGCACAGCTGTGCCTGGTGTACTCTGGGCACTCAGACTGGCAGCATACTCCCGTGGATAAAACTGAGGTGGGTTGTCATTCTCATCTGACACGAACACCTTCACATATACCATGGACTTGAGGCCTCCCTGGTGGGACGTGCAGCACAGGTCAGGTGGGCCTTGTTTGTATGCGTTCTACCCCAATGTCCCTGCCCAGCATCTGCCTACTCACCCCGTCTACTGCTGTCACTGTGAAGTCAAAGCTTGAGGGTCCCTGGTCGCGGTCCAGGATTCGGGTTGTGCACACATCACCACTGTGGGCATCAATGCGGAACGGTGGAGGCCCAGAGGCCCCAAGTCCAGCACCCAAGGAATAGGACAGGAGGCCAAATGGGCCACTATCTGCATCTGTGGCTGTCACCTGAGGAGAGACTGGGGTGAGTGGTGGTCCCTCTTGTTGACCAGAAAAGTCAGAGGAAGTGATAATTAGAGGAAGTGACAATTAGAAAGAGCAGCTAGTGCCCAGAGGGCTCGGATGGTGGATGCACAGAGGGAACTAGTAAGACATGGGCTCAAATCCAACCCCAGCCCACGCTCACCACTTGGTTACGCTCCTGAGAGTCCCTGGTCACTTTTTTGTTAAATGATAATACATAACTTTGCTTGATGTGTATTTCTGTTTGAAGATACTTTATTTAATATATACTATTGGTTTTTGTTTGCTTGTTTCTATGGATCAAATCCAGGGATGCTAGGCAAGTGCTCTACCACTGAGCTACACCCCTAGCCACTTTTCAATTCATTAACTTTGAACTCACAGCCTACAACACTGTAACTTATGCCTGAATGAAGCTTATTTAACATGTATTTTCTTTGTAAGACACATCTCAGCCTTCTGGTGCTTAGGGAAACTAGATAGCACTCTTAGCACTACACCTGGGGACTGTTTTAGTTTTTTATTTTTTTTTTATTTTTTGGGTTTTTTTTCTGATACTTGGAATCGAACTCATGACCTTGTGCTTGCCAGGCAGGCGCTGTGCCATGAGCTAAATCCCCAGCCCCTTGGGGACTGTTTTAAATAGCAAAATCAGCCAGAAAATGCACAAAAATGCAAAAACTGGGCCATTACTTTTTTCATCGTACAAGAGCTGAAACAGGAAGTCAAAGCATCATCTTTTTTGACCTTAGCTGAGAATGTGCTTTTTGGGTGACTCAAATTTTTCATCGATCTGCACATGTCTGGGAATGACTGCAAAAGTGCTGCAAGCATTGATTTGGGGGTTACAAATAAACTTTAGAGAGTCAGTGAATGTACAAATAACAATGACCAACTGTACTTACAAGAAGAGTGCTAAGGACTGTAATCTCAATTCCAGGTGGATCACAGGAAGTTAATATCCTCCCTAAGTCTACGAATCACCCCAATCTGAGAGACCTGACTGACTAATAGGATTACTGATTGATATTATAGGTCTACTCTGCACTGAGCTTGATCATACTTGATCATAACAGTAAAAGCCAACCATTATAGGATGTGTTCTTTGGATTTATGGATGTAGCTCAGGCTCTTTTAGACTAGGACAGGGCCAGGTATCCCGTAGATGCTCTTTGTGTACTTGTTTATTGAGTAAACGGATATTCTGATGGCGCTGATTTGTAACAAAACTCTCTTTCATCCTAAGTTTTGTACATTGGGTACACATTAGGCCCTCAGCAGTGGGCTAGCTGGTGCTGGCTGCTGCAGGCTGTGACAAAGTGCTCTTTGTGCATTGAAGGACCTTAGGGTCATGATACGCTGCAAGAGGAAGCTAGAGAGTCCTTTTTCTCAGCCAGAAAATGTGTGCAGAGAGAAAGCTGGCCAAGGATTTCTGATTGTTGCCCAGGCCCTTGACAGAAGTGATCTGTGCCATTGTTTACCCTCCTGAGACACGAAGACCCTGCCACAGCTGAACCTTGGAAACAGCTCCTGCTCCAGCTCTGCTGTGGCTATGGGGCCGGATATCCCAGGAGACAGACTTCCCCCTGCATCAATCTTGTGGGCAGCCGCACAGCTGCGGCACCATCTCCAGAAGCTGTTAAAGACCTTTGCCCTCTGACTCGCTGCAGGAAGAAAGCAATAAACAGTGGTCAGGGGAAGTTGTCAGGAACTGACCCAAAAGGCGCAGGGGCCACTGACTGGAAATGACCACGGCAGAAGTGAATGTCCTGACCTGTACAGCTCCTACTCAGAGGTTTCACTTGCAAATATATGAGCTTCCATTTTCAGTGGGTTCTCAGCTCAGCTTCTCAGTCCAGCCTCAGCCAGCTCCCTCTGCCCTTCTGCCTCAAAACTGTCATGAACCTTACGCCTCTCCTCTTGTCCCTTTCCAATCCCTGGCTCCCATGAGACACACTATTTCAAGGAGAAAAGGAAAGACCTTTCACCTGTCAACTCTCTAAAACTCCTACTAGGCTCCAAACTTACTGCTTATGCCCATCCTGATCGCCTTCCCAGGTGCACATCCTGTTTTGACTTTTGACACTATGACTTTCTGCTTTTCTTCCCACTGGTTCACTATCACCTCCAGTCTTTTTTTACTCTGCTTGTTTCATGCACAGTTGCTCCTTGGAATTGCTCCTTGACCTCTTCGTACTCCATACACTCTCTTAGGGCCTTCTCTTTCACTTCCCTGGCTTTAGCCATCATCTATACTTTCAAACTGAATCACTCCCTTAAGTTACAAACTTGTATAGACAGATGCCTGCTCAACATCTCTACCTGGACGTGTTCAAAACTAAACTCATGATCATTCCAAACTTGCTGTAATGACTCTTCCACCCACACTGCTGCTCAAGCCAAAAATCAGTTCCTCCCTTTTCCTCACCTGCTATAGCCATCAACTGGGATCTCAGTAAATCACTGTCTCTCCTATTTGTCTATTTCTCTCCATTGCCATTATCACTATTCTGATTTTGACCTGAATTATTTCTCCCCTGGACTATTGTAATTCCCTACCCTAGGAGTCTGATCGTCCAATCTATCTTCTATCACAGGGTTTCTTAATCCTGATACTACTGACCTCTTCTCTTCTCTTCCTCTTCTTTCCCTCCCTCCCCTCTTTTTCTTTTCTGTCCATCCTTCCATCCTTCCATCCCTCCATCCTTCCCTCCCTTCTTTTTCTTTTTTCTTTTCTTTTTGAAACAAAGTCTTGCTCTGTAATTCAGGCTAGTCTTAAATTCACTATGTAGCCCAGACTAGCCTCAAAATCACTGCAATCCTCCTGTCTCAGCCTCCCGAACATTGCAGCCTGGCCCCTCCTTTCTTTTCTCTCTCTCCGCCTACCTCTCTTTTGAGGTGTGTGCCTGGGGTGGTAGTGGAGAGTGAACCCAGGGATTCTGCACTGAGCTACGTCCCCAGCCCTTTTTAATTTTTTCTGAGGCAAGGTCTCGCTGATTTGCTAAATTGCCCAGGCTGAGCTCAAACTTGCAATCCTTAGCTTCCCAAAGTGTTGGGGTTACAAGAATGTACCACCTTACCCAGCTACTACTGACATTTTGAACCATATAATTTTTTATTGTGGGACTATTGTATGCTTTATAGAATGGTTACTAGCATCCCTGGCCTCTACCCACTAGATGCCAGTAGCATCCGATTAGTTGTGACAATCAAAAATATCTCTAGACATTGTCAAATATCTCCTCCAGGATGAACCACTGATCTACACTGACTACTGTTTGAGAAAACAAATTTGATGATTTTACTCTTCAAAAACTTCAATATTCCTTATAGAAAAGAGGCTGGCTCCTCACTGTCTGACCTACCTGCACAATCTCCATCTCCCACTCTCCCATCTTGAACTGCAGAGATACTGACTGTCCCTGGAAAAGGCTCTCCCACTCTTCTGTGCATGTCATCTAGCTTGGACCCTTTCCTCTGCCCAGTTCCCTCATAAACACCTGCTCATTCTTCACCTCTCAAGTCCAGGGTCTCTTCCTCTAAGAAACATTCATACTGCCTATATCCTTGTTGTGGAGCCTTTCTCCCTGCGATAAACTGTTCCTTTACAAATGAAATCCCTTCCAGACTATAAACTACATGAGAAGGAAGATGGGAGTTGCCCGCCCTTCATTAGTATATTCTGTATCCCAAACAGAGGCTGGCACTTGGTAGAGACTCAACAAATATCTGTTGAATAAATCAAACGTTAAGACAGTGTAATAGTTATGAACGCCCTATGGTCATGTTACTAATTTTGGTTACCAATTTTAAAACCTCAGGAAACTACCTGGAGAGTTGCCCCCTTGCTTCAGGAACTAGTGAAGAAGGAAGAAGTTTGGAAGCAATAATCCCCTGGTCCCAGCCAAGAGAGTGGGTGGTGGGAGCCAGACAGCAGCAGGCAGGCAAATATCCAGCCTGGCCATAACACAAGGGGTCAGCCAGGCCCAGGCACTAGCCTAGAGGGCTAGGTCAGTAGGCATCCCTGGGGAGATACCCAGGGCTCTGGTGGACTTCAAGCGCCAGCCTCCTGAGGGCTTCCCTGATTCAGTCTTCTCTCCAACAGCTATACTTCATGGTGCAGCCAAAGCAATCCTTCCAAAAGACATACTCGATTTGCTTAGAGCCCCTCATTCTGATTTTAAAGATAAAGTCAGACTTTTGGACTGGCTGCTGTCTACTACTGTGTTTTCTCTCTCCCCAACTCTTATGTACCAGTGCAGTTGAGGCTAACCTGAGCAGTGCAGTCTCCTGAACACATCATGGTGTTTACTCAGCAGGTCTTTCCATAGGCCTGCCACATGCCAGAGCAGTAGCTGTTAGTATTATCTCCTTGTTTAGACTGGGACCCACCTGGGAACAGGAATGTCTGCTTTGTCCTCTGGGCTCAGCACGATGCCAGGGAATGATCTATCACTCACCTACTGATCCAATCCATCCTTTATCCTCAAACCTGGTTAGCTACCTTAAAAAACAATCTGATCACACCCTTCCGAGGTCAAAGATGTTTGGCAACCTCTTTTCTTTCCAAGTAAAATCCTAACCCATCTCCATGCTGTGCCCAAAGATTTTAGCAATGTGGCCTCGGACTGCCTCTCCGGGTTCATGTTCCCTCCATGTCTTTCAGACCTGACCAGAAGCCATCTGCACTTCCCTTAGTCTGTCCAGGATGTTTGCATCTTCCCTGAGAGGCCTAGCTCTGCACATCAGGATCTCACCAGATAGTTCTTCTCTCTAATGCTCACACCTGAGTCCCAGTGTCCCATCAAATCTCAGCTCCAAAGGTAGGTTCAGAGATTTTTTTTTTCCCCAGCACAGCCCAGCACCGAATTCAGCGTGAATGGCTCTGTAAACGCTGGCATCTCCCTTGGGGAACAGGAGCCACGTGGGTTTGCAGAATCTCTATCTCTGCCTACAGAACAGCTTTGAGACTTAACAGAGTTTCATTCATTCCATTTTCCCTCTAAATGTAACCTTAATCTCCTCAATTGCCAAGATTACTGGCCTCAGTTCTTGCACCCTACTTTCTCATCTTCTCATTATCTGTCACCTTCTGCACAGACTTTGGAGCTCACAGGATCGGATCAAACCCTCTGGTGTAAGTCATCATCAACAGATGCAATTTCAAGGTTTGATTTCTGCTCTGAGGTCCCCTATGATTCTCAGACCCAGCCCTGCCCACAGCACTGTGTGCAGGGCCTACCCACCTGCAGGAAACAGGTTCCAGGCTGAGTACCTTCAGGCAGTGAGGCATTGTAGAAGGTCCTTTGGAACTGGGGCTCATTATCATTCACATCCTGTAAAGCCACGCTAACTGTGGCGGAGGAGGCTAGAGGGGGCAGGCCCCCATCTGTGGCAACCACAATCACCTGTGGCTGAGGTTCCAACTCATAGTCCAGTGAGGTGGCAGTGGTGATGACGCCTGAGGTGGGGTCAATGGAAAACCAGCGAGTGTGAGTGCCAGGGGCCAGGCTATAGGTGACCTGACCATTGGTGCCTTGGTCGGGATCCCGGGCTGTCACTCGCACCACAAAGCTGCCAGGCAACGCAACCTCAGGCAGTGGCTCAGGCCGGTAGAGCTGGCGGTCAAAGGTAGGTGCATTGTCATTGACATCAGTGATGTGCAGCACGAAGGCAGCTTCAGCCCGCAGTGGGGGTGAGCCCGAGTCTGTAGCTGTAACCCGCAAGTTATAGGCATCCCTCTCCTCCCGGTCCAGCTGCCGAGCTACACACACCAGGTAAATGACGCTGTCTTGGGTGCTTAGGGCAAAATGGCCCTCTCCACCCTCCAGAGACACATTGACATGAGCAAAGTCACCATCATCTGGGTCTGACACAGAGATGCGAGCCACAAGCTGTCCAGGTGGGGCAGCCTCAGACACTCGGGGGGTGCCATCTGCACTCAGGAAGATGACAGTCATGGAGGGCTGATTGTCATTGGCATCTCGCACATGTACAGTCACAAAGGCCGAGCCCAGCTCGGGGTGAGCCCCACCATCCCGTGCCTGTACTACCAGTTCATGGACCCGTCGTTGTTCAAAATCCAAGGGCCGTTCCAGCCGCAGTAGCCCTGTGTGTGCGTCAATGGAGAAAGGCCCATCCCCCTCGCTCTGCCTTCGATTGATCTCATAAGTTACAGCCCCATTGGCACCAGCATCAGCATCAGCAGCAAACACCTGCAGGACAGGACTGCCAGGGGCCAGGCTCTCAGATACCACAGCATGGTAGCGACTTTGATTGAAAGCTGGAGCATGGTCATTGATGTCCAGTAGTGTCACATCTAGCAGGGCCTGGGCCCTCCGGGGAGGCAAACCACCATCGTAGGCCTCTAGCTGCAACATGTAGTGTGAGCGGTTCTCTCGGTCCAGCTCCCCAGCGATTATCAGCTCAGGTACTGGAGCGCCATGTGGGCCGGGGCGTGTCTCCAGTCGGAAGGTCTCTCCAGCTCCATCACCAGAGAGTGCATAGCCCTGGGTTCCTAGGTGGCCAGCATCTGCATCACGAGCAGGATCCAGTGGGTAGCGGGTGCCAAGAGCTGTATGTTCAGGTATCTGCAGGGCAGCTCGTGCTTGAGGGAAGGCTGGCGCGTGGTCATTGATGTCAGCCACTCGTACTGTAACTTCCACAGTGGCACCATCAGGAGTGACTGCGGTGAATCGGTAGCGGTCCCGCCGCTCACGGTCCAAAACACGAGCTGTACGGACGACCCCGCTGTGTTCATCGATAGCCAGGTCTGTGCCCACACCGCTGCCTTCCTGGGCTGAGATGAAGTACATGGGCGGAGTTGCTGTGCCTTCTGGAAGCCCTGCACTGATGTCTCCAATGAGTGTGCCTGCCGGTTGCTCCTCATCAATCTGCAGGTCTAGGCTGCCAGCCTGACCCCAGGCACCTGGCACCCCAACCCCCAGCAGCAGCAGCGGTGGCAGCAGTGGTAGCAGGAGGAAGGGCCTAGGGCTCTTCATGCCAGGGCAAGAGGGTGCAGAGCCCAGTTCCTTCTGCATGACAGGGGCAGTCCAGCTGGGGCTGGGTCTCCGGCTCCAAGCCAGACTCTGGGCCCAGTTAGATATTAGGATTTGGATTGGGTCCAGTTTGGGCCCTCACAGCAATTCAGGCTCCCTGACCTAGGAGAAGTGCATAAGGAAAAAAGTCATTACAGGGGAGGAGTCATCTGGAAAGACGGGCACACAGACCATACCAAAACTCAGACACGTTGCGCTCCCACCAGCATGTTGAGCTCCCATGAGCACCCTCAGGCTCCTGCATACACATCTCCAGCCCCAGGAACCTCTGCTTGTAATTCCTCATGGTCCTTTCCAGCCTTTGCCTGGCCAAGTCACCATCCTATCCTGAACACTCTCTCAGCAGATAGTTCTGCTTCCTATATTTCAGGTCTAAATGCCCACAAGTTCTTTTCTACCTTTAAACTTAAAAGTAGGACCAATCCTTTTTTTTTTTTTTTTTTAATCCAGAATTGATACCCCTTCCACCCTCAGTAACGATGTACTTGCCTGAATGTCAGCCTTTTCTTCTCTGCTAGGGCTCTCGACCAGTAATTAAATATGCTTGAGCCTTTCTTTCTCCCTTTTCTCTCTCCAGATAGATAGATAGATGATAGATGAGAGATGATAGATGATAGATGACAGATAGATAGATAGATATAGACAGATCCGTCCATCCCCCTACTTCCCTCTCCATTCAGTAAGAGATTGAGCACCTACTATACAGATACACCAGGGGATGCAACACAGGGGATACAACTGTTTCTGGCTTCATAGAGCTTGCAGGCCATTACAAGTAGGAGAAGGGCTGTGAAGAAGTACAGGAAGCAGGAGAACATATAAGGGGCTTAGGGCTATGAAGAAGTACAGGAAGCAGGAGAACATATAACGGGCTTAACACAGTTCGAAAGTCAGAGAGGGCTTCTCTGAGGAAGTGCCTTAGTTATTTTCTTGTCACTGGGACAAAATATCCAGCGCCCACAACTTGAAGGAGGAGAGGTTTATTTTGGCTCATGTTTTCTGTCTATGGTCAGCTGGCTCCAAGGCTGAACTGGCATGGTAGAAGGGTCTGGGCAAGGAACGCTGCCCACATCATGGCAGCCGGGCAGTAGAGAGCAAGGGGAGGAGCCAGGGAGGAAGACACACCCTTCCATGACACACCCACAGTGAACTGCTCTTCTGACCTCCTAATGGCACATTTAGCTCCAGAGAATCCACTGATGAGTGGAGGACCTCCAAGACCCAATCACCTCCCACACCCATAAGAATTCTGGCCCACATTTTAGATCTAAACCATAGCAGGAAGTGATATTCAAGTCAAGCGCTAAATAACTGTAGGTGTTAGTGAGGCAGTGGCAGGCAGAGAAGGGGGATACAGGAAGAAGATTCTAGAAGAATGAACAGAATTTGGAAAGGCTAAGAGCATCCAGGGGTAGGCTGGGGAAGGCAATGCGTGCGAGTGTAGTGCAAGGGGCTGAGTTTAAAATGAGGAAGGGCCTCATAAGCATACTGAAGATTTTGACATTATCTTAAGTGCAAATGGAACCCACCAAAGCATTTCAAGAAGTGCTATGCTATGACTTACATTTTCTGAGGTTAGCTACCACTCCGTTTGGAAAACAAGGGCATGCAGATAGCATGGTGAGGAGGTTCTTGTGGGAGTCCAGGGGATGACACTGCGTTGCTGCTGACTTGGATGAGTTTTAGTAATAAAGATGGCAAGAAGAGGATAGATCCGCGGGGGCTTAGAAGGTTGAATAGGCAGGGCTTCGTGACTTCTTGAAGGCAGGGAAAAGGGAGAAGTCAAGGATGATGGGCAAATTACTGACCGAAATACCAGCTGGGCAGTGTCTGGAACTGAAGATAGAGACAGAGACAGAGACAGAGATCAAGATAGAGATAGAGATAGAGATAGATAGATAGATAGATAGAGAGAAAGACAGAAAGACAGAGAGAGAGAGAGAGAGAGAGAGATGATAGAGATGGAGATGGAGATGGAGATGGAGATGGAGATGGAGATGGAGATGGAGATGGAGATGGAGATGGAGACGGAGACGGAGACTCTCCGGAGACAGAGACAGAGAGACAAACAGACAGCCCAGATAGGGGTGGTGTCTCTGTCTCTGAGGGAACTGCTAAAATTTATGAAGGAGGAAGCCTAAACCCCATAGAAACCTTTGGTACCTAAGAGCAGAATCAGTTGAGAGGTGGAAGCAGAGACTGAAGGGAGGCAGCTGCAGGAGGGAAGAACATTTAGGAGCTACCACCCTCTCTGCGTCTGAAAGGTTGTTTCATTTCCCCCCATTACATCAGTATGACTGGGCAGTCAAGTGCTGAGTGAATGGTCAGCACCGTATCCTTCCACATCACTCAGGGAGAAATGTCCAGCTCAGGTGACATACACAAATATGTAAGCCAATCGCCATGAGACACCATGGTCAGTCCTTTGGCTTTAGAAATTTGTCCTTCAATCTTTATAGATTTGCTGTGCTGTAAGGCTTCCTGTCCCCTAAAAGGAGATAGGTTTTTGACCCCCACCCTTGCACTAACTCTCATCTCTCACATCTATGTAAGGCAAGAAAAAAAGCAGGGGCTTTGGAGTTTGGGTAGTTTGAGTCCAGTCTTAGCAGTATTTTCCTAATCTGTTAAATGGTTGGATCTAAGCCCAGAGACTGGGTCAAGGGTGGAGGCTTGGTCCTATTCATTTAATCAGCCACGGGAGAGAAAGCAGTTGTGGGCTGGAGGAAGCAAAGACAATGGACAGTGAAATCAATGTAGTTAGACTCTGTATCTGTTTCTCTAGCCAGATAATTAGGTGTTTAAGGGCCAAGAGTGTATTTTTCTTACTCATCTTCATGTGTGGCATGCTACCCGATCAATAGATTTTCTGAATAAAGGGCTATATCAAAGGATGTGTGAAATAAAAGCTCAGGTGAATGATCAGCCTTGAAGAGGAAGGACTCAGGGCCAGGCGGATGTCTTATGTGAAAGTAGCCCCTTCCCCCAAACTGTGTGGACTTCCATGCCTTCCTCATCACCCAACTGGGTAAGTGTCTCTTGCAGAACACCCCCCCAGTGTGCTGTCTCAGTGGACACACAGAAGTACACACTCACAGGGCCACAGATCTACACAAAGCCTGATACACTGTCATACTGCTAGATACACAAATGCAGACACACAGATGCATTTTCACAATCAGACTCACATGCAGACAGGCACATTCATCCTACACGTAGAGGCTTACTGAAACATATATAGAGCCACTGCACACAGATACTCCTTACATGCACTTTGAAGCCCATACTCTCATACACACACACACACACACACACACACACACACACACACACACAGAGGTGGCATATTCATTCAGAGATCCCAACCCCCACACATACACAGGCATGCACACACAGACAGACACATAAACACAACACTTTCTTATGGACCTCCCACGGAGAGGCACATTCATACCCTGACAACCCTCCATACACGTACACAATCATGCACACCCCACAGGCAAGTCCACTGTCACGTACTTGCAGACTGACAAGCCAGGCACGCGCGCGCACACTTGCAGACCCACCCACAGGCTGGCGTGCTCTCACACGTGCTGCCGGGGCACTCGTGGTCAGCTCTGCGGCTGCAGCTGTGACCTCCAGGTCCCTGGGGCCTCTGTCTGGACTGTGCCTCATCACTTCCTGCTCCATGGCTTCCAGTTCCAAACTGGAACTCCAGACTCTCTCCTGAGACTGTCTCATCCTCTCTTCAGCTTCTCAGCACCGTCTCTCCCATCTGTCCAGTCTTTCTCCCTGCTTCGTCCCTAGGACTTCCTCCTCCTCCCGGTTCTCGTGCCTTTCCTTTCCAGGGCTGCACCCTCCCATCCCATCCCAGAGCTGGTCTGCCCTAAGCATCGTCTTTCCCCCCATGTCCTGTCTTCTCTTCTGCCCCCTGCCTCCTGCCCAGCTCTGTCACATCTCTTCCCCACCCAGTTTGGTCTTGGTACATGCCCTTGTTCTGTCCCCAGTCCTGTTACTTGGTCCTCTGACTCCATCCTGCTCTCCCCCTCTATCCTCACATCTGGGCCTCTGGAACCACAGCTGGTTCTCATTAGGAGGGGGAGGGGCAAGCCTGTTCATTGGGGCCTGAAACATGATGTCAATTCCCCGCTGTAGCTAACAGAGCCCCCCTCCTGTCCCTGGCCTGTGTGTCTACAGGACCGGGGAGCAAGGGAAACATGGGAAAGAGGTGGGCTGCTGGGGAGAAGCAGGGGGAATACAAGTGAAGGGGGTGCTCTCTCGGAGGAAGTACAGGAATGGCCCGAGGTACAGAAGGGGAAATGGGCTGGGGGTGCTGGCACAGCCTGGGCCTCCTCCCTCAATTTCCTGTCCCAGGGCCAGAGAGGGGCAGGACCAGAAAGACAACAGGGGCGAAGAAGGGGGCTACGGAAGCCAGATGGGCTAGAAGCAGACGAAGAAGCGGGCAGTATGGTGAGCAAAGGGAAGTGGGGACACAGAGTGAGGCATAAACAAAAGAGGGAGAGGGGTAGAATTCTGGTGGGAGGAAGACTGAGGGAGAGTGAGTATATACAGCAGAGGACAGTGAGTGGAGACAGGCACAGCCTGACCTGCAGAGCTGTTGGGAGTGGGCAGGAGCCAAAGCTGGAGGAAGGGGAGTGGGAGAGGAGGTGGTAAGAGAAGACTGACAAGCTAGTGTCCTCGGATATCCCTGGGACAACCGCACGCAATGGGAGCCAGGGCAGCACCAGGACCCGGACCTGTCCTTTCCAAGGATGCATTCCCAGGAGGCACTTCAAGGAGAGGCAGAGGACAGATGTGAGCACAAGAGGCTCTATTTCTGAGCCTATACAGTGTGTTAAGGCTCCATGCCAGGCAACTCAGACAGTATCTCATTTAATTATCCTAACAACTCTGTAAGGAAGAAACCCAGCTTTCATTTTCCAATGAAAGAAATTGAGGCTCAGAGTGAAACAATTTTCCTGAGTTAATGCAGCTTTACTTTGATCCCAGAATCATGCATTCCACACTGCTTGAGAATTAGGGAGAAGGGAAAAGATGCAGAAGAAGAAATTACAGGGAAGCTGAAGGAAGGGTGCTAGCAGAAC